ACATTTAAAAACATTATTCTGAGAATGAGTCCAAAGGTTTCACCAAACACCCAAAGGGATTCATGACCCCCTCTTCAGAAAAGTTTAAAACTTCCAGATTTAAAGGTTCATTTCATGCTCCTTGACCTGGGTATGTTTGTTGGTTGGTTTATTTGTTTTGTTAAGTTTGTTTTTTGTGACGCTTGCCTCAGATAACAAAATTGCTAATTATAACTCTTCCTGGTATTGTATATAGAGGTGTATATAGAGTTGAAAGGAATATCATTTGTTATATGTGTATGAGATTCATAACAGAAGGTTAATATAGATAGAAGAGGCCTCAGAGATTACCCAGTTCAGTAGTTGGAAACCTGAGGCCTGAAGACTCTGGTAGTTCAGAAGTTATTGAAAGAGATCCCTGAGTCTAAATTTGCACCAAGCATTGTCATTTATTTAGTTCTAACAAATATATTACGACTGTCAGCATGATAAATAAGCAAGCCAACCTTCTGTAGAGTCACATTATGTAGATGTCTCCCATACATACATATTATTATTTATCAAATATTTATCAAATATATGTATATGGAGGTATGTAAATAATTTAGTGCCAGTACAAAATGGGCCACTAAAGTTCATTTAGGAGAAAGCAAAAACAAACTGGAAGAAGGAGACCACTTTAGTTCAGTACAATTAATATTATGGATTGTTTGACAAGGATTTAGCATATATTCATCTATTTTAAAGTTAGCTTAATTTTGAAGAAAGGTAGGGTTGTGTGTGTGTGTGTGTGTGTTGGTTTTAGGGGGATGGTCTCTACTTTGTATTTTTAAAATGGTATAATTAAAATATGCTAACAATAGGGAAATACAGTCATCTTTTTCAGGAGGTAAAGAAGGAAACAATCAGACAATAAACATTAAATCCCCACTACGAGCCAGGAACTCTGCTAAACTACAGGAATACAAAGAACTAAAACCAAACCAAATAAAATTCTCAAGTAGCTCACAACCTATTGGAGTAGCTCATAGTCTACCAAGTTAAAAGAGTTTGGAAATGGAAGAGAGTGGAGAAGGGCAGTTGCATACACATAGGTGAAAAGGCTATAAGGCTATACCATAATTAGACAAATTACTTGGGCTCTGACAAGGTAAGAAGATTCCAAGACACCCTCCATAATTATTGACACTAACTAGTCTCAGATTTATGTGCTATGTTGGGGAGGGGCAGGGCAGGGTCTTTGCAGTGCTTTGGTCTTTCTAGTTGGCACTATATTCCCCACTATGCAACTTGACCTTGGTCCCCCGGCACAAATACCTGGGGATGATGAGATTTTTCTCTAGGGAGAGACTCAGACTAGAGGAAGTTAACATGACTATTTTTAGTCGTGTTAATTGAGAGACTTAATTCGTGTTAATTGAGAGACTATTGCTCTCATTAATTGTTTTCTGTGACTGTCCTAGTATTATAAGGAAATAACCTTGGAAGTTACCAGGTTAAAGGGCCTCATTTTGCAAATGTGAAAACTGAGGCAGAGAACCTTAGTCCATGACAGAACTCAGCCCTTCTCACTCATTCATTCCAGGGGCTCTTTTTCCTACTCCAATGGTTCAACGACCTTATTATACAGAAGAAAAAACAGAGGCCCACAGAGGTTGCTATTTTTCTGAGGTCACACAGCTAGTTAATGACCTTTCTTATCCTTTGAGATAATCCTGCATTTCATCGGATCACAGGAAAATAGAGCATAGATTTAGACCTGGAGAGAACCTAAGAGGCCATCTAGTCTAAAGTCTAACCCCCTCATTTTATAGTTGAGGAAACTGGAGCCCAGAGACGTTGTGACTTGCCCAAGGTCATACATGCAGTAAGTGGCAGGAAGTGGAACTTGAAAACAATAATTCCAAATCCATTAATTAAAAAAAATAAAATAAAATAGCTATATTCTAAAATACAATTTTTTGGCTTATTTATTTATTTGTTTTACAAAATAATGCTAGGATGACGTCACGGAGTTGGCAACACTTTTCAGCGTCTGGCAACCTGGGACAGCGCCGACTGACTGCCCAACACATCAACCTGTCTGGTGCCCACTCGCTCCCCTCCCGTTCCCCAAATCTCCACTGCAGAGACAACCCCGCAAGAGACTGCTGCAGTCGCTCCGGCTTCCAATCCCCGGTGAGTGAACAGAGGGATGAAGAGATATTCAGAAGGGAGAGCCTGCTACGGCACCGCTGAACCCAGCATATAGGAGAGAGGGAGGGGCCAGAGGGGGCGGAGGGAGCAGCTTGGCCAGGGTGCAGCACTGGTTGCGGCTCCCGCTGGTCAGTCTCATCCCGGAGCTTGTCCTGGGGCTGGGAAGAGACGCCGTTTTGGGAGAACCTGTGCCTTTACGGCCAGACCTCTGGGAAAGGAATGGAATAAGTGGGAGGTGGAGAAGAGGGAGGGTAGAAGAGAGAGAGAGAGGCAGAGGGAGAAGGAGAAGGAGAGAGAAGGTGAAGGACGATTCTAGAGGAAAGCAAAAGGGAATTGAGGCTGCACTTCCACTGATGCTGGAACGGGAGCGAGCCTAGTGCAGGGTAAGTATGAAGCTGGAGATTCGCCTTGCCTGGGCGCGGACTCGCAGCCTTGGGGGGGGGGGGGGGGGGGGGGGGGGGGGG